GACGAATGACGTTATGAATTCGTTACCGAACGTATTCCGGTAGTGCAACGTACCGGTAGCAGTGCCATCGCATACAAGTCCAGCTGACTCAGATTCAGATGCCAAGTAAATCTTCTGGGCAAGGCTGATGAAGGCGATATCTTCACCGAGCGGCAAATCAAAGGGGCGCGGCACTAGAGACCATCTTCTGGGATACGGCAGTTCACGGCTCTAGCACCAAACGTGGCAAGAGGTATACCCTAGCTTCTGCTTCTTGTCGTCGCAAGCCTTAGTCGACGTTTTGTTTCGGACGTTCGGGAGATGGGCTGTGCCCGGACACCAGAGTCCACAAGCTTCGGCGGATGTTACCTCTAGCGAATTGGATAGTCTGACGTGGTCAAAGTAGTCCAAGCCCAGACCACCCACGGGTACTTCTCAGGAACATAGACGAAGTAGGCAGTTGACAGGTCCTTTGTCCGTACTCCATAATCCTCGTTGCCGATATGGGAGAGGTAGTTAACGAGTGCATGGCCAAGGACTTGGCGGGCGGAGAGGAAGACCAAGGCTTGGCCACCAGCGGAGGGACGACCACCTATGCTAGAGTAAATAAGACGGGGCACACCAAGAGAATACCAAGACTTCCCTCCGCTATCATAATATCATTGTACGTATGCGTAGACACGGCTTGTAATGAATAACGACAGAATGGACCGAATTGACACGATGGCGCAATGCTACGATGTGCAAATAACAACACGTTTCGTGTTTCGTGTAAACGTATTGTGAAGGTGACTGACTTATCGCGAACTCGGCAGGGAGAAGTCTACGGTAGAAAAGGAGACGATAGATGGCGTGAAAAGAAATGGTAGAGTTAAGGGGGTGATTAGGCTGTGTCACTTGTACGATCAGATTACAAATGGTAGATTGTTCACAAGTGTTGAAGTGCAATTGACTTCGGGGTTGATTACTACGGACTACGGACAGTACTGCCGGTATTACGACTAACAGCTCCTGACTTGCGACGATTAGAGCGGCAGCTGTTTCCAACCATGCTCATTAGGTAGTTGCATGGTCGCGTGTAGGGTGTAGTGCGTAGTGCGTAGTGTGTAGTACTTTCGTACGTAACAAGGCAATGATCACTGGATGACTTGCGGATGACTTGGGATGGCGACGGAGAAAATGAGAAGGTTGCTGGTAAGGAGTCGAGAGTTGTAAGAAAGTGGGCGCAGTCGAGTCTCGGCGCAGGAGGGACCGGCGGCCAAGGCCATCCGTTAACGTTTCTGGGCAGATAATGTCGAGACAATCAACGAATGCCAAGGTTCGCCAAGGCCTTGGCATTTCCTTGGCACGTAAGTAACGATAGAGGAGAGGGAACTTGAGCTTGGTAGTCACCACCTACTGTGTGTCGAGTCACTCTCGAGCCCAGGTACATAAGAGGTTTGCCCCCATTTCTACTTGACCAATCATCTACACACCACTGGGACACTCAAGACTCACGCCAAGACTTTCCGCCTGGATGTCGCCAAGTGCAAATGTCCATAATAAGGAGAGGAGAGAAGACTACCCGATTTTACATAAAACTCTTGTCTGTCCACTGCATTCCTCCTCTTTCTATTGCAAGGCCAATTTCTTCTTTTTTTTTGCACCTCCAGCGGAACCTCCTAGTGCAGTTACCACAGAGCTACGAAGACGCACTGGTTTTATGCTGCATCCTTCTATAAGTCCCACTGAGCTTGGCTGCCAAGGATTTTTGTTAGTACCGCACAGGGCCACCCAAGCCAATCAATTCTCCATTTATCCGCCGTTGTTCCATCTCTCCAAACCTGTATCTGCACCTGCACCCACAGAGACCGGATTAAACAATTGTTCCACCCCGGGTTTGTCCCCATCACGTGCAGACCCATACAATCCCCCCTTTTAGAACATCGTGATGTCTGCAGCCCCTGAAGGAAACCCGATCCCGTCGGGTGGTGAAAGCTCCGCGTCTAACGGCACCACACCCGCGCCCTCGACGACAACCACTGCGACCTCGCATTCTGGCGGGGCTCAAGATGATTCGCTGACTTGCCGCTGGTCAAGCTGCGGCGATAAGTTCAACACTGCCGAGACTCTCTACGTACGTTTTATCGCAGTATCATGGATGCGATTCGCATTTATGCGGCACTGATTTTCATAAGTTGGTTGGGATTGACAAATTTGTAGGAGCACATTTGCGAGAAACATGTTGGCCGCAAGAGCACAAACAACCTCAACCTCACTTGTCAGTGGAACAACTGTAAGACGACTACCGTCAAGCGTGACCACATTACCTCGCACATTCGCGTCCATGTGCCCCTGAAGCCGCACAAGTGCGATTTCTGCGGCAAGTCCTTCAAGCGTCCTCAAGATCTCAAGAAGCATGTCAAGGTAAGTAGCTTCGCAGCTCCAATGGTGTTAGATCCGTCTCACTGCCCGAATATCTCGCTAAACGCCAATGGCAGACTCATGCCGATGATTCGGTTCTCGTTCGCTCTCCCGACCAGCATGGTCCCATGAACGGCGCGTATCGAACTCAAGGCAAAGGTATGTTTTCTCACGAATCGGGCCAATCTCGCCCTGAGGCTAATTCGCCTCGTAGCTCCGTCTAGTTACTATGATCACAACGGTCAAATTCGTACTAACTCGGCCGCCTTTGGCCAGCCGCCCCACGCTGCAGGCCATCCCAGTAGCTACTATCAGCACCACCCCCAGACCCAGTTCAGTGGTCCTATGTACTACCAGCCCATGAATGGTCGTGATCACATGGGCTACCAGGCCTCGGCGGCTGAATATGACAACCGCAAGCGCACTTATGAAGCACTGAACGAATTCTTTGGTGACGCCAAGCGCCGCCAGCTAGATCCCAGCTCGTATACCCATGTCGGACAGAGACTTCTTCCTCTGCACGGAGTTCTTCCCATCCACTCTGGGTCCCTTGGCGCCGAGTACCTGCCAAGCCCCGCCGTCATGGCTGTCGACGGCCACGGTGGTCACGGACCTTACCAGCAGCACTACTCGCTGCCACCGATGCCGAACATTCGCACCAAGAATGACCTTGTTCAGATCGATCAGCTGCTGGAGCAGATGCAGAGCACGGTGTATGAGAACTCGAACACGGCGGCTGCCGCTGGAGTCCACCAGCCTGGCTCTCATTACCTGCCGTTGAACTTCCGTCACAGCCAATCGCCCCCTCACTCTGCGGCTCCCGCTCAGTCTATGGGTAACGGTGCATACTCTGCCGCGCATGTGGCTTCGCCTCTGACAGTTTCGACACACTCGAATGGCACGCCTGCCGTGACGCCGCCGTCCAGCTCGATGTCATACACATCTGGCCACTCCCCTAGCGCCTCTTCCTCGGGCTTGTCGCCGTCAACTCGACACAGCTCAACTTCGGCTCTGTACCCAACTCTTCCTGCGGTCACTTCTGGCTATCCCGGACAATCCGCGACATCCACGCTGGGTCCCAACTTCGATCCGGATCCTCGTCGCCGATACTCGGGCGGCATGCTCCAGCGTGCCAACACCGCCACTCGACCCCATATCGACCGTGAGCTCTCTACCACTCCTAAGCCCGAGTCGGCTATTTCTGCCGTCAGCTCGCCGTCGGCCGAGTCTGAAGCGAGCGCCGACACTCGTGAAGACCAGGTTTACGAGGCCTGGCTTGAGAATGTTCGCGTCATCGAGTATCTCCGAGAGTACGTGATCAACCGCATCAAGCACAAGGACTACGAGGTCGAGAGCCCTTCCAGCGATATGGAAGTCGATTCTCCCATGAGCCCGCCGTCTCAGCCGGCCTATCCTGCTCTCCCTCTTCAGTAAATCAAATACATGCCACGACGCCAGACGCGAAACGAATCGGACGAAGGAAGGTCTGGTGAAGGGACGTATGTACATAACGGAAACGGACGGACGGACGGCGTTGGAGGGGTGTGTTTCAGAAGATCCAAAATTTCTCTTTTTTTCTTTTTCTTTTGTTCTCCTTTTACCTATACCTGTTGCCAAGCACGGCGGCCCTTTCGGAAGGAGTTTCGGGGTTGACTAGGGGTCGGCTCCAACGAGGACGTCGGGAAGGCCAAGACCTGCTTCGCACTTTGCTTTGGGACATTGTCCCGAATGCTTTTTCTCTGTCTACCTAGGTAGGTAGTTGTGGGACGCACTCACTCGAAAGGTATAGGTATTGCGTTATGGTTTAGGTAGTGGTAGTCTTTAAAAGTAACTGATTGCAATGTTAAAATATGCTAATGTGCTCGATGTGATATCAGCGTGATTCCATATGCTCTTGTAGCTTGGCAAATCTTTCTATCGAAGGCATGCCTAGACTTTGCTAGCCGGTGAAGCATACGTGTGATGGCCTCACTATTGTTTATGAGTCGCCCGGCTCTACCGACTTTGGTTTCACCCACAGTCCCAGGTAACTACCTAGATATCCTCCTACTTTAAAGGAATCAGCTTTCTGGTTGATCCAGCCCGGTTTCAGATTCCTTACTGTATGCAATACATCTTCATTATATCTATATGTAGCAAATCGATGACCTAGCCATCTCCTAATACGCCCGAGTACGCAACTACGTGGACTTAAACCAATTTACTTACTATCACCTTGGCATCAAGTCAAGACAAGCGTACCAAGATGGGCCTTGTTCCACTAGGGAGCATAGATAAACAAGTAGCTTACACATACCTAAGTAGTAATAAACAAATATCCTGAATAATGCATGCCTGCTCTATACCCCGAGGCAGCTCTAGCAATACGAGAGCGAGAATAGCATCTCAACGACTTGCCGTGAAGAACACGGGCGAGTGAAGACTTCTGTAAAATCCCACGCGGTTACTTATATCTTCCTATACCTACGTATACCTAGCCCTTTGCCTCTCCCCTTTCCGCCCCGAAGAAGTCCCGGCAGCCAGCCCGTTCTTTCCGGTAGAAACAGCGCGGAGTCTTCCCCTTATAAGGCAGGATAGATGGCTTACAACTCACGCGCAGCTAAAAATGAGACCAGGAGACACCTGTGGGGCAGAAGTCGAGCTCGTTCCTCTCGCCGAGTGGTAGCGCGAGCGGGAAAGACCCGGGTGCGAATCCCGGCGGGTGCTTGATATTTTTGTACGGCAGCCGGGGGTTCACGTCGGGCTGACGGCATTTACTTTTTTTTTCTCTTCCTTTTTTTTTCTTTTTGGGAGGGGGTTTTACGCAGAGGATACGCCGAGGTGTCTGTTACAAGAAGCTGCTTCAAGCAATAACAGTATTACATTATTAGCATTGTGGACGCATATATTGAATCCAGCAACTATTATCATAGCCTAGCTTTACGTAGGTATCTAAGATAAGGGAATCTCAACACGCAGGCATGCTCACTCCACGCAGTCAAGAGATGGACAGGGTTTCTTTCGTATATCCCCAAGATATATCCGTGATTTCTAAGTTTTTATTTTTCTTATCATTCGTTTACTGATTATAAAATAAAAATAATAAAATAATAAAATCTTTAGATGGTGAATAAATTGCGTTACGTCTCTGCAGAAAAGTCCACGCCTCCTTCGTTTACTATGCTCGATGTCCTTCTATATGAATATTCGTGCGCTTGGGACGGGTAGGGGGTGGGTTTCAGATATTCAGATACAACTCGTGTGCGGAAGGAAAAAAGAGTAAATAGAATCTGAAAGAATAGCAGAGTTTCGAAAAAAAGATGGCGTGTATGGTGGTCCTAGCTTCACGTCCGGCTTCGAAGTCCGTGCTGCGAGATCTCTCGATGGGCCTCGGTCGAGCGCCTAATTCGATCTTTTATTATTGTCAACAAATGCAGAGCATGGTTACAGGCTAGTTGGAGTAACCTGTAAAACATTTTCCTTGCCACTCGTATTGTCCTAGATGTTGAATGCCATGCCTCCTTGCGTAGGGGGGATATGAGAAGTATTTGTTCCGCGCAGCAAAGTGCTTCGGAGCGAAGTGACGAGAATCACCGCGCCGGCAGTCATGACACGTGTATAATCATGAAAGAACCAGACCCGTCGCCGCAGTATATCTGTTGCTTGAAACTTGGCCGGGATTTGATTCAAAGGGTATCCTCGAAAAACAGTCATTCAGGGGAGGTATTTTGGGAGTCGGAGGCTTCTAGGCGACATCTACGACACATGCACCAGCCACCGAGGCTACCGTGCGCCCACTCCCTCCGCTGCTGCACGGGTAGATTCACGTCGCAGTAGTGGTTAAGGATCTCGTCCCCAGCCTTTATGCCGCCTGGCGCATCATTGACGATTCTTTTCTCGCGCGCCTTTAGCACCATCCGGCCGCCCCACTCCCAGGTGACATTTGGGTCGCAGTCATGGTTGGCGAGGCACCAGAAAGAATGCACAGCGGCGACATCTGGCCGCAGGTCTCTTGGGCTCTTGCGGGCCGATGCAGTGCCACGGAATTTGCTGTAGAGTGTATTAAACACCCACACGTCGTAGTCGGCAAGAGTGGCGTAGATGTCAATATCCATCTTCTCGAGGATGTGGAGAGGCGCCTCAATATTGTAAGTAAAGGAAAACGGAAGCGTCCAATCTGGGGGCGGTCCTGCATTGGGTGATAGGTCGATTTCGTTAGTTTGGGACGAAACGAAATCTCCCCAAATATACTTGATCTGGTTCACATCAAGCGGGTTTATCTCTTGGTGGGCTGCCATGGCGAGGACACGCGCAAGTAGCAAGAGGTGAAGGGCATCATCCGCTTCTTTTGCATCGGGGTCTTTAGCGATCGAATCAACGTCCTTGTCGCAGACAGCCGGATGGTAGAGTTTTTGTGCTTGCTCGAAGCAGTACTGGCCGCAAAAGACGGTATCATAGCAGTCTGGACAGTTGACCGCAGGCGATTCGCTTCCTAAAGGCGGGAGCTCGCCGCTGCAAGCATCACAGACAGACTCCTTTAGGCGATTGTTGGCCGTAACCAGCGAATATTCTACCAGGACGACTTCTCCCGGCGCGATATCTTCCTTGGCAAATAAACCAAGTTGGCGACACGTAGGGATTATGTCGTATCCATCTGTGCGGCTGGGACATCCGAGCAATACGGGCAACTCTGAGACTTGGATGGTGCATTTGGGTGCTATATTGGCCAATTCGGAGTTGAGAATATCTAAAGATTCCTCTGAAAACCGATCGGGTTCGTAACTGTTCCAGGGATATACTTCCCTGCGTACCATGCCCCAATCTGGGAGATCGTTCACACCGGAAAATGGCTTGCGGGTTCTGCGCTCGGCGACAGTCTGAATGTAGCCTCGCGTGTTCAGAAGCTCCTGGTTATGTGGCAGAAGAGCGAGTCCACGATCGCAGAACTTGGAAGCACTCTTGAGACAGCCGCATAACAGGAGACTCAGAGATAGGATTTGGTAACATCGAATAGATGCAAGGGAAGCGATGGCGGGGATATCCTTCACGCCGCCGTCTAATGTGGGCAAACGAGACTGGCCTCCCAATAAAGACCCATGATCGAGGACACGCAAAAGCGGGTCGTCCGCGTAGGTTGTTAGAGCTTCGAATGCTTGTTTATGGTATTCGAAGCTCTCGTCGCGGACCTCGTCGGTCAACAATAGCGCACGGTAAGCGTCGCCAGCTGCTAGATCGGGATAGGCCAGGTCGGCATATACCAATGCGCGCTGTATGTAAAGGACCAGGTCGTAGGGATGAGCCAACAGATCGTTTGTCAATGAGTGGCGCTGTCGTAGAAGGGACTCGATTCGAGAGTCGAGCTCTTCCTCGGACTCGTCCATCGGGCACCGCTAGTGCTCTTTATACGTAGGAATCGAGATGGGTACGGTAGGGGGATCTGAGCAACGTGTGTGGGGGTGGATTGGTCCGCACTTCTGATTAGGGGCACGTCATTGCTTAGTCGTTGTTTGGATTCCTTTCGTACCCCGGGTGGGAGCTGGCCGCGGGATCAGCGCGGCGAGCACAAGATCAAGATGCCGTGTGGCGCGGCGGGTTGCCTTGCACGGTGAATTCTTGATTTTGGACGAAGTGGTATGTCGGTGATCGTCGCCGTGCGTATTCGTTCTCGGTATAGCTCCCGTCCCCGTTTTCGGATGTCTGTGTTTCCGTTTTCTTCGCTCCCAGGCTTCTTAGTTGGCGATGGGGAGAACTCCTCAGAGGGGCTGACGAGTCGGATATAGTAGGGATGTCTGAGGGGTCTAGAAACAGTACTTGAAAGACTGTGTTTTTTTTTCCTCTGAGGGTTCTCGCAACCACACAACCACAACCAACGAAAAAATTGTTGCACAGAGTCCGACAAGACCCCTCCAGAGCCCAAGGAGCCGAGATAGAAATTGTGGCACGACGCTTGAGTCTTGAGTGGAGCTCTTGGGAAAATCTGGATGGAACGATCACCGAAGGACCCTTGGTGCTTCCAAAAAAAAATCAGGGTCCACTGGAGCACACCCTGGGCACTTACCTACATCCTAGCAGCCTAGTACCAGTGCCAGACTGCCAGACTGCCAGACCACCACATGTCGTTAATTAAGTACCCAAGTACCGTATGTACATATGCACTAGCGGGGTCCGTTCCGGGGGCTACTGTGTTATTTATGACTTATGCGAGAAACCAATTCGCCATCCCCCATTCCCATTCCCCTTCCCCATTTCCATCCTTTGAAACATTTCTATAGATCTATGGACACATAGCCATAGCTGAAAGCATGTGTCCATGATTTATATTAGAAACAAACTCTCTTTAACTATTGGCGAAGTATGACCTGTGTTTTCCTCGCTCTATACAACCATCTGCATAATATCTTCGGCAGACCCCTTTACTACGGCGCGTCCAATGGATTGCTATCAGCAGCTGAAGAAATCGCATCGACGAATGCCAGAATCAGAATCGGATTTCCGACCTTTCCGCTTATCAAAGGTCGATAGCGAATGGTGTGATTTCACAGGTAGGTAGCTACTGCAAAGGCTCCCTGCAATGTAACCCCGACGCTCACTATGCGACCCAGTCAGCTCCACGGCTAGCATCTTTCTCCTCTAATCGCGTGAGGCTGTAAAATGCCTAAATGGTTGAACATGTAAGCAACAGTGATGGTCTCAACAGATAATCTAATATTCTTCATTAGGTAACCATTGTGACAAGTCAGTTTGCTGCTTCGTCCACTGATAACAGAGATGGCACAATGTTGCTATGCAGCCGTACTTGATTGGTAGTGAGGTTTTCTGTCTCTGCACCTTCACATTGAGTTGCACTGAGCAGATAATACAACTTACAACTACACTTGGTTGGCTATAGCTAAAGGAATTAAAGTCCAGCCCATTTTCACTAGCCATTAAGCACGGCTTGAATCGACAACTCTTAAGTCCTAATTCCAAACTAGGTAAGTTTTCATTCAACTTTTACATCTTTAGAGGTAGTCAAGCAGAGTATATAGTGTCGTCAACTCTAACTATTGCCAAGCGAAATGCAATATGAAGAACCATATAACATTCAAAACGCTAGTTGCTTTTTAGTTCTATACAGCAACGTGGATAGATTTTGTAAATACTTCTGCTTAAATGGTAGTTTTAATTAGTCACTATGAAAACTTCTAAATAATACCCCATATAGAAATTTACAGTGCAAACAAAGCGAAGCGCTGGAACACGATCTTCGAGCAGTTTTTGCAAATCATACAGCCACATCTTTAGCGGACTACTAAAATGCTTACAACCCAAACTGGCACATCACTACCCGTACCCCTTGACGCCATTGCCTGTTCATTGTACACCATATCAATAATCCGTACATCTACTCAGGCTTTTTGCTAGCAGCCCCTTCCTTGACCATACCCTCGCATCCCGCAGCCTGACCAAGCCTCTGTTCGACCTTCCCGAAGCCCTGAGATGACGGGTCGTGCTTCTCGCCAGCAGCCTTCATGGAATCTACCGCGTGCGCCTTGGCTTGTTCTCCGGAGGTGGTCCAGGCTTGTGAGCCGGTTACGCTGCCAATGGTGGACTGTTTGCATAGATAATTAGTACGTAATAATCGATATAATGGAATTCATCAAGGGGGGGAATCATTAGGTTCAGCAGACCTCTGTGGCTCCCTTAATCCACTCGGCATGACCACTGATTAGAGAGGGTTGCTGGCT